ATCGGTGTTTGCCATCGGGATTGGGTTTTCGTCGCTTGGCAACGACGGTATAAACAAGCCAATTCACGTCGTGAGCTCGGAATCCAGGTTACCGTTCTGTTTTTTTCCTCTGCTTTTATATTGGAGGCCATTTGTTACGATGTCTTTTTTTAGGCTGCCCTTTTTTCCCAAAAGAGACGTCCCTTTGCGCGATGCAAAGAAGCTGCAGTTCATGAGACTGCACCATCCCTCACACCCTAACACGTGATCCGCTCAAACTACGCGTGAAGCGTCGTCGCAAGTAGCACACGACGTGTCCCCCAATATACGGTACATGCGGTTTGCGAGAAATGGGCTGAAATTCCAACGACGAGGCAATATTGTAGCAAGGAAGAACTTTCCGGCTCTCTGGGGGGTGATGGTCAAGTTTTCGAGTTGGGCCAGTGCCTCATCGTGTGCACCTGGACTCCACTAGCAGGGAAATGTTCCACGAGTAGGTTCTGTAGGGTAAGGGTACGTTCGGTAGGGTACTGGGTCTGTCACAGAACTCACAGAAAAGTTCGGTTGGGTGCTGGTTCTGTCACAGAACTCACAGAACTATAGGGTATTGTGGTGCGCCGTCACAGAACTTTCAGAACTTTCGAGTTCTGTAAGCGAGCTGTCACAGAAAGTTCGGTAGGGTACTGGGTCTGTCACAGAACTCACAAAACTATAGGGTATTGCGGCGCGACCTTCACAGAACTTGTTGTTGTTGTTGTTGTTGTTGTCGGTGAAACTGGGTATCTTCCGGAGGGTACTAAATAGGGTAGGTTCTGTAGGGTAAGGGTACGGTAGGGTCTGTCACAGAACTCACAGAGAAGTTCGGTAGGGTACTGGATCTGTCACAGAACTCACAGAACTATAGGGTATTGTGGTGAGCCGTCACAGATCTCACAGAACTTTCGAGTTCTGTAAGCGAGCTGAATGTTCTATTGGCTGTCCGATACTCGACACATATTAATAAAGGTTGCTATGCGCGACGACATGCAGCGAAACTCTTGATCATTTCATTTGGAAAACCCCAACAACAAACGTCACTATTCCCCAAATTCTACTCACGTGTCCCATTGCCTTCATGTTTTTGTTGGTGATGAGGTGCCTCACGCACGCACGCCATGGCGCTTGCGGTAGAACCGCCCTGAGGGCCGCCGGTGATCCTTTGTGACCGTCGATGAAGAACGTCACCTCGCCGAACGAAAGAAGTCGATGCATGTGCTCGTTCCCGCAGGTCTGCTGGAGCAGGAACTTGTAGTTCGTAGCGTTCTCCTTGTCTGCGAGTACAGTGTTGACGTGGATGATCTTGTTGTTGCTGTCGTGCATGCAGAGGACGCACATGACTCCCTTCCACGAACCCTTGAGGTGGCCAGCGTCCATGGCCACCATCTGTTCAGAACGGCAGGGGCGGAGAATTAGGTATTTCGTAAGGGCAAGATCAAACGGTTTTAAGTGCTGGGAGGTCTCGTGAGGCACTACTTGCGTTGCTGCCGGAATGTTGTTTGGGCTCGCCCTCTCTGAATCCCATCAACTGTTTGGGGCGCGGGCGCCCATCAACCTGCGAAGCAATGTCGACAAGTACAGTTCCAGAAATGCGCTGTAATCGAAGCAAGTCGAGAGAAGGGCCAGAGCTGGAGCAACATGTCATCATAAGACGAAGTTTCGGATTCGTGCAAACGGACGGTTGAAAATTACCAATACGGCAAGAGTGAAAGCTAGCAAACAGGTGAAATGCGATATGCCGCCAAGGGTAGTAGGAAAGCCTTTTCCGTGGCCGGTATGCTGCTTTCTGTGCTGCGGCTGTTGTACGAATCTGTAGGCTTGCACCTGGAACAAAAACCGGCCCTGAAACACACCCCAATTGTACCAATAGTAGGATAAGGTGGCAATGTTACCCAACCCTTGTCGGTTGACGCGGGCATCCCCCCCGTTTTTTCTCACTTTCTCTTTCTCTGGGTGCCTGCTTTACTGTCGGTTATTTCAATTGAAATAAACTTTGAAGGGAACAGCAGTCCTGGCCCACCATTCTTCGCACGGATGGCGTTAACCGTTAAACAAGCTACTGCTCGTTTTGAACAACACTGGGAAAACGCTGTTTGAGGTACATGCAACCACAGCAATGTCGTTCACAGCATTGCCATGGTGTTGGAGGTACCACGGTCACAAGCAGCAGCATTTTGTTGACAAGGGGAAAGTGCCGAAGGAAGACATACACTCGAACAGAGATATTGCCCGTTCGAGAAAAAAAGCAGGTAGTAGTCGATTATCCATTACTGCTGCCACCACTTCAAACCTCCACCGGATCTCCGTGGTGCAATTGTTCGGCCCCATGTTGTCAGAGAGGGTACACACACGTAGTACACGGCGTACCACGAACAAATGTGGGAACTGCTGTCGCCATAATGAACACTTGACCCCATTACGCTACGAGACATGGCGCGCCAACCAAAGTGCAAAATTCAACCCGGGGCTCAAGTCTCAAGCTGAGGAACAATTGCTGATGGCCTTCCTTGGACCACTTGGTATAAGCCTCAAATGTCCTCAGAGGTGCGCTGCAATACACATGCATAGTAACCGACTTTGCTGGTGAGCTCGAGACATGGCTGGTCGTAATTTCGATATTGTGCGGCTGGAAAGCCAGGGCACACTCGATTGTTACCTGAATATGAAAATCACTTGTGCCTGCGCAAACCTCGCTGCGGGTTTGAGAACAACACTGCTTCTATCCCCCGCGAGTTCATTCATCGACAACAAATGATGTAGAGGGTTCAAGGATGCTGTGTCGTACTGTTCAACCTAAAAGCGCATCGACGTGACCAACGTATTGTTTGACTTTTTTAGTGGCTCTCCACGGCTTTCAATGGACAATGGCGCTCTCCAGGGCTTGAATACATTTTCTACCTAATAGCTTGGTAAATCTCAGCGAAAATGAAATGCCAGCGACGTCTGCACGACAATCACGAAAGCGATGCACTCGCCTTGGGGACACTGTGCGCGGCGACGTAGGCGGCCTTACCCAGCATCAAGAAGCTCCTGACGAACCGGTTGTCGGGACTCATCTAAAAAGGGAAAACGCGTGCACCCGGGATAACAACCACAGGAAGGTCAGAACCCGAACGACACACTGGGCTGCACGTTGCTCACACATCGCGTGCGGGGATGGATCATTTATTTGGATGGAGACGAGGAAGAAGCGAGGGTAGCCTACAGTTGTGCCCAGAGCCTACGGAACGTGACGACGGCACATCTACAACATGCTAGGGTACATGTGGTATTGCTGTTGTCTGGAGTCCTTGCCCAACCTTGCACGGCTGCATCACGTGCATATTGAACAGTAGGGTCCCGATCAAACACTTACCTCGACGGTGGCGACCGAACCCGGATAATCGCGCTCGATCCCTTCGAAAAGGGATGGAAGACGCGAAATGGCACCCGCTTCATCCTCCTTAGAAGCGGTCGCGATGCGCTTCTTCGCGCGTTGTGATTGCCGGTCAGAGACGGTAAATCCCGCGGTCTTCAGGGTCCTCTTGATCGCGGGACCGGCGATCTTAGGGTTGGTCCTAACCAACTGGTCCACCAGGGGTTGTACCACATGCGAGTCCTCTACCTTGGTGATCTTGAAATCACCCCCCTTCTGTAGGCAGCCTTAAACAACCCAACTTGTGCACGTCTTGCAAACCAGGTGAATTTGCCAACTGCCGGCACCCTTTCAATTCTTCATGGAACGGCAGGTGGCAGCAAGCTCAGCGGCTACGGCGACCTTCGCGGCAAGGCGGCTGGAGAAAACCTGCCCTGCGGTAACGGGCGCTACGATGGTGGACAAACCCGCCGTCGCCGCTCCTGCGCTGCCGCTCGCTCCTCCTTTCATGAT